ATAGCCTCATAATCTCGAAGCTTTTTAATCCCCGTAACCTCATAAACTCCAGTGACCCCATAACTCCGTAACCCTATAACCTGGGATGCGTGAAGGTGCAGAACAACGAAATTCATTAGGAGTCAGCAACTACATGATGATGATTGGAAGGTTTCCATAACCCCACAACCCTGTAATTCCAGAATGGGTGTGTGTAAGTGTGTGCCAGGAAGTATAACCACGAAACTCTAAAGGATTGAGTCTACAGTTTAAAATTGAGCTAGATATATAAAGAGAAAAAAAATCCTTATCGAAGTGTCTGTCAGCCACAGATTTCCATGAAACTTCTCTACGTTGTAGAGGACAAAACAATACTAGACACGTATATATTTTTTTCTGCTGCTAAACATTTTAAAGGGGTTTACTCCTAAAATTTACCCCTATAAACGGTTTCGTCAAGAAATCTGTTCCTGTACAATTTCTTTTTAAACCGATTGGAGATTGATTATTATGGATCAACGATATTATTAAAAAAATATATAGGAACATAGATTTCTTAAAAAAACTGTTTTTTGAGGAAAATTTTACGGATGCTTTTTACCCCTTTAAAATGCTTATAGGCAGAAAAGGAAATATACATGTCCCATATTTTTTTGTCCTCTATAAAATAGCGAAGTTTCATTGAACTCGTTGACTGACACTTCGGATTCAGCGGGTCAAAATATCATCGACGGCCTAAATCACTTTTCTTTTGTGGCACTGTGTTATTTATCAACTTTTTAAGATTCTCTTTCGGAATCAAAATATATGTATGTATATATTTTTCGAAAAAATTTCGCAATTGTAAAAAATGACGCCTAAGTTTTATTCGCATAGTGACATAAAAAAAATTAATTGAAGTAAGAGAATATGAGCTATTTTCTCTAAAAATAATAATTGTTCTGTGGCTGATTTAAGGTATCAACTTGCATAACGCATAAAATGACTATTATGTTTTATTCAATGATGAAAGTGAGATGATATGTATGCCAATATGTATAAATATCTATATTAAAGAAACTGGAATTGGAAAAAAGTTCGAGTGGCTATATACCACTTTCCAACTTTTAATAAAATTTGTTATAACTTAAACTGGAATGGGAAGTACTAGACTTTACCGCATAAAAGTTGAATACGGAGGTTGTAAAGTTTACACTGTATACAAAGCAAGTTTTATAATTTTATTTATTTAATATAAGTGGATTTCCATTTCCATAATAATAATCTATAAAGGCAGAGTTCAAAACCTTTGCGCCTAGTTTATTGCGATAATTTGTTTTCTTTCGTAGATAACGATAATGTTTCTGCTGTAATTTTGTATTCTCTTTACCCTCCTCTTCTGTAGTTGGGTTTTTAAACCTGTAGAACAGTGTATAATAAATAAATAAATAAATAAATAAATAAATAAATAAATAAATAAATAAATAAATAAATAAATAAATAAATAAATAAATAAATAAATAAATAAATAAATAAATAAATAAATAAATAAATAAATAAATAAATAAATAAATAAATAAATAAATAAATAAATAAATAAATAAATAAATAAATAAATAAATAAATAAATAAATAAATAAATAAATAAATAAATAAATAAATAAATAAATAAATAAATAAATAAATAAATAAATAAATAAATAAATAAATAAATAAATAAATAAATAAATAAATAAATAAATAAATAAATAAATAAATAAATAAATAAATAAATAAATAAATAAATAAATAAATAAATAAATAAATAAATAAATAAATAAATAAATAAATAAATAAATAAATAAATAAATAAATAAATAAATAAATAAATAAATAAATAAATAAATAAATAAATAAATAAATAAATAAATAAATAAATAAATAAATAAATAAATAAATAAATAAATAAATAAATAAATAAATAAATAAATAAATAAATAAATAAATAAATAAATAAATAAATAAATAAATAAATAAATAAATAAATAAATAAATAAATAAATAAATAAATAAATAAATAAATAAATAAATAAATAAATAAATAAATAAATAAATAAATAAATAAATAAATAAATAAATAAATAAATAAATAAATAAATAAATAAATAAATAAATAAATAAATAAATAAATAAATAAATAAATAAATAAATAAATAAATAAATAAATAAATAAATAAATAAATAAATAAATAAATAAATAAATAAATAAATAAATAAATAAATAAATAAATAAATAAATAAATAAATAAATAAATAAATAAATAAATAAATAAATAAATAAATAAATAAATAAATAAATAAATAAATAAATAAATAAATAAATAAATAAATAAATAAATAAATAAATAAATAAATAAATAAATAAATAAATAAATAAATAAATAAATAAATAAATAAATAAATAAATAAATAAATAAATAAATAAATAAATAAATAAATAAATAAATAAATAAATAAATAAATAAATAATGAAAGAATTACAAAAATTAAGAATATTTATATTTCAACCAACTATTCTGTAAATTGAGATTTCAATAAAATTTTATTTGAAACGAAATAATGAAAATAATAAAATAAATGAAATTTTCTGTATTAATATATATTTCCTTTAATTATGCACAATGCCATGAAGCTATGATATTTTAACTTTATATTTATTTATTTATTTATTTTATTACTCAAAAATACAGCTATTATTCACAGAGTAGAATGTGAAGGGTGTCTCAAGCTTCACGCAAGAAGTAACTTTGATACAAAACACAGGTTTTTATGAATTTCTATGAATTAAAAATTATTCATTCACAAAATATACAGTCTAGGGTTATGTATGGAATAGCGTTTCGGGTAGATGGCCTCCACGGCTTTTGTCGAAAGCGCTTAATTTCCTACTTCAAAAAATCTCAAAGAAAAAAGTTCAACGGCGTTAAATCGATGATCTGGACGGTCAATCCTGATCACCAAAACGGGAAATTACGCGACCAGGAAATGACTCATGGAGTAATTGAATTGTTTCTCGGGCGGTATGGCATGGCACCGTCTTGTTGAAACCAAGTGTCGTCTACGTCCATATCTTGCAACTTAGGTACAAAAACGTGATTATCATGAGCACCATTAACTGTTATTAACTGATCAGACCCATTTTCGAAGAAGAAAGGTCCAATGATGCCTCCAGTCCAGAATTCGCACCGAACAATGACACGTTGTGGATGCATTTGTTTCTCAACAATCACTCGGGATTTTCTGAACCCCAAATATGACAATTTTGTCGACTAACGAAGCCATCAAGTTGAAACTGAACCTCGTCGATTTTTAATTTTTTTATAGAAAAATCAGCATCCATAATCCATTCAATGAACTCTCTTCGCTTTCCGTGGTCAGTAGGCTTCAGTTGTTGAGTCAATTAAACTTCGTAAGCATGACGATGAAAAACTTTCGTGAGAATACACCGCAGAGAGCTTCTTGAAATGTTCAGTTTTTGATCACGGTGCTAAATTGATGTTCCTGGAGTCTGAGCAACACACTCACGAACTGCGTCGATGTTGTGCGTTGATCGACTAGTTGAAGGAAGCCCAGAGTGTTTAAGATCACTTATTGATCCAGTCTGCGTTGTTATTTCATTTAGCGCTCCACTTTTAATAACCCTAAACTGTCAGTCGTCACGCTGTATTTTTTATTGGCTAGACTTTACTGCACAGATCGAGCAAAATTCAAATTTAGGTAAATTTTGGGACACCCGATACATTGATTTGATTGAATATTTAAAGAAATCTAATAATTTACCTAAACTAAACTGCAGCAGAAAACTCTAAACAGTTTCTTAAGATGAGTACCAGATACAACATGAAATAACAGAATTTTAAAATCACAACAAATTATTTGCACAGTATTTATATTTTTTGGCTAAGTGTACATATAACGATGTTGTTAATAATAGTAGTACAAGGTAAAGATAGTTAGAACTATGTAAAGATTACTGCTACTATGTTTTTAAATTTAAGTTATATATAAAAAATACTTGGGTTATATAATTTACACGAGTTATAATAAGATCAATATTAATTTTAAACTAAAATCAAGTGAATAGTAAAAAAATATGTACTGGGTGTTTCTGAAATAAGTAAGTTCCTTGAATAGGGCTATAGAGGGCACGAAAACGAGTAACTTTCATTGCTTGTGCAATGATTTGCTAAGTGCTAGTTTTAGAGAAAGTTAATTAAGAAAATTAACCATAAATGTATACCGACCCTGTGCATCTTGTGCAGAATGGCCAGAATGCTTCGGACTCGCGTGAAGCGCTTCTCTAATTGGCTGACGTTCCAATGACTTCCACAATCAAGCAAATATGGTGGTAGGTCAATAGTCAGAATGTCTTGTGTTCTTTAGTTGTGTGTTGTAGTATCAATCATTTGCGGACATAAGTTTATAAGCAAACTGCCATTATTTTCTCATGTCGAATCACCCCCTGAAATTTGTCGCACTTATTTACTAACACCCTGTATATTTAACGTATTTATGTACTTATATTTTATTATTGCATTAATTGGAATCTACTTTTCAAAATATTAGATCATAAAATTAGGTAAACTATTGTACATTTATGTATTATATTTGGCATTTATTATATCTAGTATATTTATCATGAGCAAGTAAAATCAGTTCTTAACTTTTTACGCTCATAATTTATGTTATTATACTTAAAATTTTAATTATTTACTTTGTAAATATCTTATATTAAACTGTTGGTTATTACATGCCTTTCAAAAATATGACTATATTATTTGTACGACATACAAAAAAAGAAAATATTAATGAAGGTTGCTTTCTGTAGGGTGGTAATTGTCTATAAGATAACTTCATCTCATTTTGTAATATTCCATTAAATTATATTAAGAGCGCTTCTTTAATGCTTTTTTAAAAGTTAAGTTTCATAAAATTGTTAATTAAAAAATAATAATGGCTCTATCGTCCATTTAAGAAAATTAATTTGGCTATAAAAGAATTACTTGAATAAAATCCTTCCCAGAGATCTGGATGTCAGACTGGCTGATGAAAATCCTGGCGTTGTTCACATAAATATCGTCGTGGTATCTGCCACTGATGTGTGTGATCCATAATGGGGGATTACCAGAGAGCTCCGAAGAAAGGGATGTATAAGAACTGCCTAATTGATCGGTCCTCTTGGGAACGCTAACTACAAATAAAAATAAATAATTGATACATTTTCAGCTTGAATAAAATATAGAAATGTGTTACGAGTAATAGCATTCTTAATATTTAATGCTTTCACAGAACTAAAATATTGACCTCAACATAATAAACTGTGGGTGAGGTGGTATGAAAAATTATGAATTATGAATTTTCGTGCGTACATGAACAAAGCTTTTAATTAAAACAGGTTACATGAATAAAACATTTTTTAAATTTATTCAAGTTTTTATTTAAAGATAAGAATGCGCTTTTGACTGTTATGACTGAACGGCGGAGCAGACTGCAAGTAAAATCGTCAACGAACTACGTAACAGTACCTTGGAGAGCTTTGAAACTAACAAAGTAGATTCGGCTTTTCTCAGTAATATTTGATTACAGATATTTAAATCAACACGTATATTTTTGTATCGAATTGTGCATAATTTTACTGGTATTTTCTATCTTATACAATGCACTCTTGTAACCTTTTTTATTGTTGATTTACAAGAAAAAGTTATTCTTGATAAAAAGTTTTGTTTATCTTGGGAAACCACGGGCAGTAATCAAATATATAATAAAACATACAGGGCGTCCAAAAAAAATTTCAAAATGTGACATTTTCCTTAAGTAAAATGCCTTTAATTTTTATTTTTAACAAAGTTGTTCGAGAACTCAAGAAATGCTTAAATACGGGGTTTAGTCAAAAAAGAAGGATAATCACATTTTGCAAATAAGACCAGATTTTTAAGTATCTTACTTAAAGCAGACAGAAATTTTAGAAAATAGGTAAACTTTTATTTTTGATTTAATATATTATACAGGGTGTCCCAGTGTTAGCGTACAAAAATTTACCAGGGGGTAGACCGGACCAAGATAAGATTAAAATTCTTATAATATATTTTTCTGTCATGCACTCTCACGGAGTTACAGGGTGTTGTTTAGAAAAAAATAATAAAAACTTTCCGCAATAACTCAAAAACCCTTCCAGGGAATTAAGTAATTTTTGGGTGAAGTGTACATCTATTACAGGTCATTAAAATTACATGGTGATTATTTTAATCTGATGCCAGGGGCGGCCTAGTCCAACTTGTCCTCAAGGTTATGTCTTCATAACTTTTGCATGTCCTAGTTTTATGTAATTTTATTACGTTTTCCTGAATCTGCAATCGATTCTGAACAAAAAATGTGCTCTTGTTTCATAGCTCAAAAATGAACCGTTTTCGAGTAAATTGGTTCTAAGGTATCGACTGCATAAGTTCGTAGACAATGCATGTGAAGATTTTATTTCTTGTTATCTAGTAGGTACCTGTCATTATAAAAAACAAAGTTGTTTACAAGCGTACATGTCAAAATTAATTACAGTACTCGAAGTTACTAGAAATTAAGTTTACAAAACAACAAGATTATGAAATTATTATGAAATTTTCTAACAACGAATATGCTGATATGATATTTGTCTACGGTTTCTGTGATGGAAATTCATTGTTTTCCAAAGAGTCCGTGAGACCGGGAATGTTAAAATTGGAAATTCAGAATGCTGCTGTTATTGATGATCCTTCCACCAGTGCCCGAAGAATATCAACGCAAGTAGGTATTCCACGAAGCAGCGTCTGGAGAATTTTAAACCGAGAAGAACTGCACCCATACCACCTACATAAAGTACAAATTTTGCATCTGGTGATTGCGAAAAAAGGTTACAATTTTGCAGGTGGTCGTTAGAAAATATCGATAATGGCGAAAATTTCCATCAAAACATATTGTGGGGTGATGAAACTATCTACGAGAAATGCTATAAATAATTTAAAACATTTTCACATATGATCCATTGAAAAATCCGCATGTGATAAGTCCCTTCACGTTTCGAAGAAGATTCTCCATAAATGTCTGGAGAGGAATCTTCAACGGAGTCATTCTGCCTCCTCAAATTATTGTAGACCGTTTGAATTCAGAGAGATACACGGATTTTTTAGAAAATATTGTTGATGGCGTACTAGATGACGTTCAATTATCTTTGCGAAATCAAATGTACTACCAACAAGATGGAGCACCTATTCATAACAGAAGACAGGTATCGGAGTGGTTCGATTTACATTTTCCAGAACGCTGAATTCGGAAAAATGGACCTATTATGTGGCCTCCCAGGTTCCTTGACCTCAACCCGTTTGATTTTTTTTACTGTGGTCATATGAAACAACTGGTGTATGCCAAACCCAGTAACACGAGAGACGATTCAAAAAATTAATGCAGCCACCGAGCAAATGCAAGCAACCGTTGATTTGCGAAGGGTTTACAATTCCTTAGTCAAACGATGTCGGGCATGCATTGAAGTAAATGGGCAGCATTTGAAGCATTTATTGAAATAATTATTTTCTATTTTTATTATTAATATTGTCATTTTCCTAATATAATTTCGTTTCTGTTACATAATTTTCAATTTTATTTTCAGTTCCCCTATACGTAACCAAATATTAAATAATTCATAGAAAACTTGTTTAGTTTCTTCATATTCATGGGAAACTGTACCTCAACGGTAAACAAGTTTGTTTTTTATAATGACAGGTATCTACTATACTCCATGGTCGAAATTATAGAGAGTGATTCATCGCTAGCTTTTGTACTAGTAAGGGGGATGAAGCGTGCCGGGAACGAAAATCAATTGGCGTGTCTGCGTAAAAGGCAACAAGATATAGAAAATAATGAAAAAAGATAATAAAACATAACATCTAATATTTTTTACGGTTTGCTAGCTATAACAGGCACTTTGATCCATTTTAATTATTACAGCATTTTAAAACGTCCCAATTGTGTTTTTTAATTTATAAATTTATTATAGCCATGGAATTAGACCCTTCGTCTACGCTTATGCTATGACGTTTCTCAGGACGGGTTAAATCAAGTCCATTTACACCCACTAAAAAAGCATTTCCCTATTCCCAACAAGTGCAAAAGACAGAGATAGAATATAGATCGACGTTCAGTGTAACTCGGTCTCTAGACGATTATAGATTCTATCGATGTGCGTAGCGAGCGGCACAAAGATAAATAATATTGAACCGTATAAAAATCTTTTTATATTTTATATGCATTATGGTAATAGTGTTTTTATATTATGTCTTAGTCACTCTTTATAATTTCGACCGCGGAGTATAGATAACAAGAAATAAAGTCTTTACATGCATTTTTTACGAACTAATGCAGTCGATACTTTAGACCCAATTTACTCGAAGACGGTTCATTTATGAGCTATGAAACAATAGCACATTTTTTGTTCAGAATCGATTGCAGATTCAGGAAAACGTAATCCAATTACATAAAACTAGGATATGCAAATGTTATGAAGACAAGTTGGCTTAGGCCGCCCCTGGCGTCAGATTGAAATTAGCACCATATAGTTTTAATGACCTTTAATAGATATAGACTTCACCCAAAAATTACTTAAACCCCTGAAAGGGTTTTTGAGTTATTGTGGAAAGTTGTTATTATTTTTTTCTAAACAACACCCTGTGACTCCGTGAGAGTGCATGGCAGAAAAATATTTTATAAGAATTTTAATCTTATTTTGGCCAGGTCTACCACCTGGTGAATTTTTGTACGCTGACACTGGGACACCCTGTATAAACAGCTTCGTAGAACAAGTTCCGGGTTTGTTGCCACGTCGTCAGTTTAGGTTTCTTGACGTCGAGAGACATATCGCTTTATTTATCAATATTAATATTATTTTAAGTCTTTGTTCCTAATTTTTACGGAAAAGCCATTAATTATATTATTATATTCTACACAGGAACCTATACCGTTATATACAGGCTGTCTTACGGTGACAGCCCATTAGAATATTTAAGACTACTTCGATATGAATTTTGAAAATTTGGGTTCAGGGGTTTTCGGGGGGTGATCTAAATAAAATAATGCCATTGTTGTAGAACTTTCGGTTACACCGGATGTCGCCATCTACTTGCTTATTTTAAATGAAACACCCTATGTTATTGCATTCTCGACAAGATAAATTAAAAATTAGTCAAAAAGGTGAAAGCTTACCTGTACCTAAATCTAACCGTTTTCGAGATAATCGACATTTTATAAAAATGTTGACAGATGCAAGCCTTATATTTTTCATTATTCTGGAAGCTTTCAATTGCTTTTCGGAACATACAAAGAACATAAGATGCACTACATTCCACTATTAAAATTACCTGGAGAAAATTATATTAAGTATCTTATTTTGAACGTTACATATTTGCGGTTTTCTTTCATTCTCAAGAATATTACATTAAAAATATAAACAAATGTACCTTTAAAGACAAATATCGGTACTGCCATTCAGTATTCTAAAAGTAGGTATCGAGTATTTTTAATTTTTTTTATATCCATAGCATAGAACATTCAGCTAGAATCAGAATTATTAGCGGAATTTCTATGATTTGGTATTTTGCAACTGAAACAGAACAATTAATAAAATGGTTTCGATTGGTTTTCTTAGAATTTTTTTCTAATTGTTAATGTTGTTGTGACAGTTTTTAAATAATAGCAAACATAAATAATTTCAAATAACTAATAAATGATTATCAGATAATTATGATGATTCTGGAATGTAGGTAGTTGAAAGGAATATTATTATATAATTTAAAATTTTGGTTACTTTACATTTCATTGTTTTCTTAGTGAAAGGAAAATTATTTGCTCTTTATTGTACTTGCAGTTAATAATAATAGCATCCCATTGGAAGAAAATATTATTTATTATTATTCTTTGTAAATATGTTCCCTTATTATTTAAAAGTTACAACAAAAGTGAAACTACGCATTTTAATATAATTATAAAAAAATAAAATAAAAAATATTACTATGTTCTACAAAGAACAGTATTGTATGTAGCTCGCCGAATTTCATTCACGTCCAATTCCTCAAATGTTGCAATGCAATGTTGACTTACAACCACTTACAACCAAGCATACAAAAGCTCGCCAACAAACATATTTTTCGTACATTTAAATATTAAATTTAAAAT